GGATAATAGTACTCTAGGGGGAAGACAATTTTGGGCTTTCCTAGAAGATGGGGGAAAATGGACAAACGTAAGAGATAGGAGGTCTTACGGCAAAAGGTTGGTGGCAACTTGGATGTTTAGTGCTAAGAGATGTGGGAAAAGGAATGGCTAAGAGTTAACACTTAATCTCCATTTATAAAGTCAGTTCTGAAGCCATGGATATAAGGGCAAAAGAATCCATTCACAGCCCTAGGAAGAGGAGTTGGACACCCTGAAAGGCTCTTCTGAAGAGTTATCACATGAGCCAAGGGAGCAACCCTTCGGGCAGAGAAAATAATAAACTGTGGGAAAGGCCAGAAAGGTCAAATAGGGTACACAGGGAAGATAATCTGAGCTGCAGAAGAGGTGATTGTTGTACGAATTCTCATTAGGGTGTTCATGGGGAATTAATATGATAATAAGCAGGTCATAATTCCTTATCCTAAGGATTCATTATTGGCAGAATATCAAGATGGAATGGGAATAATATGTAGAGTCACAGGGTTTCTCCATTGTCATCAAAATTATGCAGGTCAGGGACTGAGCTCTGAGGGTTGGCTGATCTATATATAACAAAAGATCTTTTGTCTGTGGGTCTTTCTTATCTGGCTTCATCTTGAGCTACCTGAGGCCAGAGAAGCCTACTGTTTTCTGAAGGGCTATGAACTCATAGTGGTTTCTAAAAAGCCATCCACACCCACACACACCCTTTAGGAATAATGTTACCTAGACCCTTCTCAGGGCCCCCTCTCCTCCTCAGTTCTATGTTCTTGGGCAAATTTCACTTCTATGTACAGAATAAGGATAACAATGATGATTACCATTCAAGGTTTCATGCGGATCCAAAAAGCCGAACATACTCAAAACAGAACAGTGAGTGTCGTTCCTGTTTTATCACTGCTGTCATGTTTATTACTAGGCATCTTTCACCCTGTCTCAGTCTCTTTCAATGATACTCCTTAACACACACCCCTGCAGATATGAAGCTGGGACGGAATGTGGCGAGGACGTTCATGGATTATTACCGCCTGAACCCCCTAGTCGAGAAGATGACCGTCCCCGTACCTAGACTGCGGTAAGTGGCAGAGCTAAGCACTCTGGACTGTTTCATTGGCTCTGTATTTAGGATAGCTTCCTTTAGCCTCTTACTGGTGCTCAGTTTCCCACCTGTGCCACAAGAAAGACAATCACAGCCCTGCCACAGGGACCGCCTATGTCCTGAGCATAAAATATCATGACATTTCATCTCCTCTGGTTTCTGGGTTGAGGTTGTAGATTTCCAACCAGATTACCAAGGCTTTGACTTATCTGATAGAGCTGTAATGCATTCTGTATTCCACATACAGGCTGCATGTTAGTACAGTTCAATGATACCTATCCAGTGACAGAGATGGGGTGGTCTCATTCTTGGTCCACCATGGGAATCCCCAGGGATAGGGTGTTGTTAGAGTGTTGAGATCAGTCATTATCTTAAGTTAGTGAGGTGTTTCCATGTGTTACTTCTCCTCTAGAGTTTTTATATGAACACCAATTCTTCACTTCCCCTGCATCAGTACACTAGGTACCATGGTATCCACTTTTCAGATTACTGTGAGATGCTCATTAAAGCACCCAGTACATTGCCAGGTATACAGATGTTCTGTTAGTACAGTGTTGTCCCATTCCATGAAGATTTGAAGGTTTGGACTAGAAAGGACACACACATGAAGATTTCTACCTCGGGTTCTCTGATGGGACTCACTTGCAGGTTCAATGAGGAGAAAAAGCTGGGAAGTGAGCATCCATCTTGTCTGAGGGCTGGACAACAGCCCAACTCACTGAGTGTTCCCATGTCTGCTGGTGGACAGTCCAGTGAGTCCACTGACATCCCATGGCATCTGGAATGTTCTAAAACTGCCGTACCTCTGGGCCTCGTCTCCTGTTCCTCTAGTAGTTCAGCTTCCTGGAATGACACAACAATGTCCAACTCCCTGTTCCTGCCAGACCATTCTTTCCACTAACCTTCCCCATGTATTTTGGTGCCTCAGGACCTTAGGCTGAGGTCCACATTTCTGCCTCCTCACTCATTATTACTAATAAAAATAAACAATACAAATTACTGTTTTTTGTTGAATGAAGTACTTTTTGTACATCATCTCATTTATCTCATGTTTCTCATCTTAACAAAATGGTGGAGAGGATTACTTGAGATTACAGAGTTTGACCCAAGGCTCTTACAATTCCAAAGTCATTAACCTCCACTTCAAGTGTAGGTTCAAATCCACTCTCAGGCTCATAGAAACTGGTGGCGTAATTGTAGTCAAGTTTTGTGGCCACTTAAAGCTTTTCTGGCTACCTACTTATTGAATAGGGGTAACAACAACAACCTCTAATGATGATTTTGAAGATGAGTTACAAACTTAATATAATGCCCAACAGACAATAAGTGACTCAAAAATATTTTCATCTCCTCTAGTGTCTGGGATGTGGTTGCAGCTCTCTCACTAAGTCCTGATAAAGTCCCTTGACTTATCTGATTGGACCAGATGATGTCTTAGAAATAGCTGTTCCACAATGACGTAAGTGAGGCATCTCTGAGCCCCAGATCCATGTAGACAGTGAATGACCCTGTGTTTGGATGACATCCTATCTCAGATTACTTACAAGTCATTTAGGGTCTTTGTTTCCCCTCAGCCCCACCTATCCTATGTATTAGAAACTCCTACAGGAGCATCACATCTGTTTCTTCTCTGCACCCCTGCAGGACCCACCCTGCACTGAGCATGTAGGCATGAAGTCCCCGATCATTCACTTAGGAAAAAGCACACTTTATGCCAGGCCCACCTTGGTGGGAGGGAGGGGCCAGAATGAGCTTGTAAGTGACCTGCCTTTGAGTAGCTCACCTCAAGAGGCAAGTACTCACTTCATTCTTGGGAGTCATTCTTGATTGGTTAAAGTTCTTAAAAGTGTATAGCTGTAGAAAATGCAAAAGAATTCTTAAGAGTCTCATTTACAAGTTAATTTAGGGATTATCTCTTTCAGGTCTCTTTTCTGCCTGAATAAAATTATCTTGACCTTTAACTACATTTTTCTTGGATGTTGCACTGTCACAGAAAAATGAAATAGTGCTGACATTCCGGGAGACCTTGGCTATCACCCTGACATGGATGGGTTGAGGACTTTGAGGGCTAAGGAGTGGAAGGACTAGTCATGTGACCTGGCACCTTGCCACTGGATCAAAAGGATGCAGGGCACTTCTTGGTGATTTGTTTTCAACTGCTCAGTTTACCTCTTTATCCTGAACTCTGGAATCCTCTTTTAGGAAAAAAAATAACCCTCAAGCTCTTTCCTTATAGCCTGCAGCTTTGAGGGGTCGAGGCAAATACACCCACACTCAAATTAGGAAAACAACTTCACTCCCCTCCCATTCCCATGGGTCTACTACATCAAACTTCGAATCTCCTTTTGTTCTGAATTGGTCAATAACCCTTAAGAATGAAATTCCCAGAAATATGAGGCTCTGAACTCTAAGTGGGGTTCTGAATAGTTCCCCCACCTTTGGGGGGAGGGATATTATTTTCCATCCAAGCATCAAATAGCTTAAGCGAAAGAGCAGTTCTGGTTTTCAAAGAAAATTGCATGTTTTGACTCAAAACTAATCTTTGTTTTCTCTCATCTCTATGGATAATTACAATATGTCACTTTCTACCCAAATGCTGGCAGGAGCTTGTCGGCATCCTTGGGTGCTGGGCGGCCCTACAGAAAAGGACCCTGGGGAAGGGCAGTGCTGTGCGTACAAGAGCTCGGGCTCAGCATCAATTATCAAAGCCAAGACCCTACATTTATTTTGACCACAGTAACACAATCATAGAGCAACCCAAAGTACACCATGAAAGGGGATAAAATTAGACTGGAACAAATGAACAGGCCAAGTGTGCTACTGTGAGTAGACAGAGCATGAATGTAGGTCAGGTTCAGCCATGGACTGGGAGCTCCATGTGAGGTGTTGTGTATGTGTGTGTGTGTGTGTGTGTGTGTGTGTGTGTGTGTGCATACATGCATCAGGACCTATGCTGAAGGATCATAGACAGTCTCTGCCAACCAGAAGCTCTGATTTATGGAAGGTAATGAAATGCATACATGCAAATAGAGCAACACTGCACAGTGCACAATAAGTGTTCAACTCTGTTGGACTATATCCTTTCTCAAAAACCTCCCACGGCTCTCCATTAACTACAGAGTGATTCTTCAATCCCTCTTCTTGCTATTCAAGACCCCAGCCTATATTATAATCTTCATATACTGCTTCCTTCCATACCCCTGCCCCTGAGAGGACCTATTTTTTCCTCATTTCCTCTTCATCCACTGAACAATTTGGCCATTTCCTGCCCCATATCTTTGTTCATCATTTCCCCTCAGTTTAGAATGTTCTCATTTGCACCTTATAGACAGTGAACTCCTATTTACCTGTTGAAAACTCAGTCCATATTTCACATCTATTGCCCTATCCATCTTATTCACCTGAGACAGAGCTGTCCTCTCAGCCAAGTTTCTAGCTACATTGTGTCTGTGTCTGTACCTCTAGTATGGTACCTGTGTTGTACTGTCCTGTACAATCCTTTCTCATTTTGTATCCTTAGTGACTGGTGCAGGGCTGGCCTAGATTAAGTCCTAAATAAACCCTGAATGTAACTGAACATAAAATTGTAGAACTAAAGAAGCCCCCCGAAATCATCTTCAGCTCCTTTGCACTACAGAAAAGTGAGACCCACACAGATGTTACTCTCCATTTAAGCTGGTGAGTATTTGGTAGTTGACAGGTACCTCCCAAAAGGCTTCAGGGAGGAAGTTGGGTTTCCATTTGGTTCTGAAGAACATAAGGGATTTGAATCGATGGACTAGAAGGAGAAAAGAGGGTATCCTATGTTGAGGGCCAGTGGGAAGGCAAGATAGTGGAAGAAGCCTGGTTATAGGAGAGGCTCATTTTCTGCGAAGTTGATTCTCAGAAGAGTCTGGAGAGGTATCAGGGAATGCCTCTGCAGGGTGCAGGGAGATCAGACATTTGCCTTCCAGTGTCTCTTCCTCTGTGCTCCTGTCCTGGATTGCAGAAGCTTTTGCTCTGCTAGACCCTCTTTGAATCATTCTGCATGTGCGCACTCCTTACTAGCCACTGGATGCCTGATTCTCATTTAGTCACCTCCCCAAATCTTCCCCACCTGTGACTACATTACAGCTTATCTCTCTCGGGCCAACTCACCTTCCTTTATCCCCATAAAATCATACCAAAGTATACCCATCCACATTCTATGTTCTTTTGGGGGTGCTAGCAACAATGCCCTTTGATGGTATGACTCTCACCATGTATATACAGGCAGTCATGGGGGCTGAACTCTGGGCCTGGGCTCTGTGCCTCACATCTTCAGCTCAGGGCTGGTGCCCTACCACTTGAGCCACAGTGCCACTTCTGGCTTTTTTCTGCTTGTGTGGGGCTGAGGAATCAAACCCAGGGCCTCATGCATGCGAGGCAAACACTCTACCATTGAACCAACTTTCCAGCCCCTCACTTTACATTTTTTAAAACTCTTCTTCAGCCTCCATTTCACCAGAGCCTATAAGTTAGTAAGGGAATGCATGGGTGTTTCAACTTTACAATTAAAGAAATTGATGGAGGTAGAGAGAAGAAAAGATCACTTCAAGGTCACTTTGTCTCAGGACTAGGGACAGTCATAGAGCACTTCCCTATTATGCATGAGGCCCTGGGTTTCATCTCCAACACTATTAAAAAAAAAAAACAAAAAACACCAACCTATCAACCAAAGACTCAAAAAGAGATCACAGTGTCTGTAAGCAGCATTCTAATATGTACTCTGTAAATCCAGTGCTAAGGAGTGCTGAGGTCTAGATAATGTTCACTTACACTGACAATGACCCTGGGCTGGCTTCCTCATGTGGGGTGGGGAACCTGGTAGGGCCAGCTGTACTTTGTGTACCACTATACACTCCATCTCTACCTGACTCTTTGCACATCAACAAGGAAAAAAAAGTGGATTGTCCAAGATCAGGGCATTCTGGGCCTCAGGCCACTTCAATCTTAACACAAATATAGCCCAAGAGATTCCCATGTTTATGGAATTTACCACATTGTGCTGTACATTTTGGGTGTTTTTGTTTGTTTGTTGTTTGTTTGGTTTTGAGACGTGGTCTTGGCTAGGTAACCCCAACTGGCTTTGAACTTGAAATACTTCTGTCTCTGCCTCCCAGGTATACCATCATGTTTGAACTTTGTAATGTTACTCTGTAAAACTATCTCCTCTAATGAACAGCATGTAACTTGAGGACAGCCTCAATGTCTGCCTCCATGTCTGTCACCTCCAGAGTCTTCAGTACCTAACACAGTTCCTAATAAATTACAGTTGAGAAGGGACTATTTAGCCCATTATTTAACTATTATTTAGCCTTGCAACACCACTGCAAGATTAGAGTGTTTTATTTTTATTTTACAAATAAAATTCAGAGAAATTAAATTCTTTGCCCTAAGTCACCCCTCTCAGATCAGTTCTTTTGGGCTCCAAAGTCCATTTTCCCCACTAGAAATAAATCTTGGCCCAATGACTAAATAAATGTCATACCAACCTATCAGTCAAAAACATGACAAATAAGGCACGGATAAAATAAAATATAGAAGGGAATAAAACACAATCATCAGTTCACTGTCCAACATGTGACCACAATAGACACGTAATCAAGTACAGGACAGTGATGGTAAGAGTGTTGCACTTGGTGCTGGGTACTGGGACACAGAAATGAATCAGAATCATGTCATTTCCTCCAGCTCTCAAGCTTGCCAGGGAGAGAGCAACATTATAAAAGGCCATCCTTCATCTATACTGAGAATTATAGAAGAACTGCAATCCCCTGGTAGTTAGAATGAGGTCCCAGATCCTCCCAAGCTGTAACTTTTTCTTAAATAAGGGCCTAAGGTTTTTTCTCTTAAGCTTTGGGAACCTTAGGTAAGCAAACC